CCACCTAATCTCGACAAACTTAGAGTATTAGTTGTTTAGCTTATGCTCACATTAGGCAAGACAAGGTCAAACCTAGAGCTATAAGATATATGTTCCTTGGATACTTTGAAGGAGTCAAAGCTTATAGGTTGTGGTGTCTAGAGCCAGGTTACAGGAGATGTATCACAAGTCGAGATGTAGTTTTCAGTGAAGCTGAAATGGCGTTCAAGAAAAATGATGACGTTATTCGAATTTCGAAGAACTCTGGAGAAAACCAAGAGCGAGAAGAGACTCTTGTTGAGGTGGAGCATAGTGATGCTGAATTGAACAACCTTAATGAAGTCGAAGAAGATGCACAAGTTGCTAATGAAGATTTGGAGACTGATAATGACTACCTGCTGGAAAGAGACAGGCTGAGAAGATTCATCAAGCCACTTCAGAGACTTGGTTATGCATATCTCATAGCTTATGCCTTAGTCTCTACGAGTGAGGTTCTGGATGAAGAACCTAGAGACTACAAGGAAATTTTTAGGAATCAAGACAAGACTGAATGGGTGAAAGCCAAAGATGATGAGATTAAATCTCTTCATAATAATAACACTTAGAAGCTGATCGAGAAATCTGCAAGGGCCAAGTTAGTCAGCTATAAGTGGATTTTCAAGGTTAAGGAATGAATCAAAGAAGTGATGTCGAAGAGATTTAAGGCAAGGTTGGTTGCTAGGGGGTTCACTCGGAAAGAAGGTGCCGACTTCAATGATGTGTTTTCATTTGTTGTAAAGCATAAATCTATTCGAATGTTGCTTGCTATAGTGGAAAAGTTCGACCTAGAACTTGAACAGGTGGATGTGAAGACAACCTTCCTGTATGGTTATCTAGATGAAACTATCCTGATGTGGCAACTTAAAGGGTATACAAAAAAGGGAAAGGAGGATTATGTATGTATGTTAAATAGGTCTCTATATGGCTTGAAACAATCTTTTTGACAATGAAATAGGATATTCAATAACTTCATGGCACACATAGGTTTCCATAGGAGCCAGTTTGACCATTGTGTTTACTTCAGATTACGACCTAGAAATTCACTTGTTATTTTGTTTCTTTATGTGGGTTACATCCTCATAGCAAGCAACAATGTCGAATATATTATGAAGGTGATGGTTAAACTCGATAAGGAGTTTGACATGAAGGATTTGGGAGCTACCTCTAGAATTTTTGGGATTGACATCCAAAGAGATATAAAGCATATGAGATTATGCTTATCTCAAGAGACATACCTGAAGAAGATTTTGGATAAGTTTGGTATGTCAAATTCAAAGCCTATTCTAACACCAACTAATCCTCAATAAAAGCTAAGTACGACTCAAAGTCCTAGTACTGAAGTCGAAAGAGCCTATATGAATAGCATTCCATATGCTAGTATAGTAGGTTCTTTGATGTGTGTTATGGTCTATACGAGGCCAGACATTGTGTATGAGGTGAGCCTTGTAAGCAGTTATATGGCCAATCATGGGAAGGCGCACTAGCAAGAATTAAAGTGGATTGTAAGGTACATCAATAGGTCTTTAAGTAGATTCTCGATTTATGGTGGAGCCTGTGATGATGATAGCAAAGTCAAAATCGAAGGGTTTGTCGACTCTGATTATACATGTTGTATGGATTCTAGAAAATATATTTTTGAATATGTGTTCACTATGTTTGACACGGAAATCAGTTGGAAAGTAACACTTCAGAAGTTTTTTTCCTTATCAACCACTAAAGTGGAGTATATTTCCCTCACTAAAGTTGTAAAAGAAACATTGTGGCTTGAAGATTTTACTAAGAAGCTGAAACTTCAAGGTCAAGTTATCATTGTTAAATATGATAGTCAAAGTGCAGTACACCAATCAAAGAATTCATTCTATCATGAGCGTATCAAACACATCGATGTAAGGTTGTACTTTGTTAGAGATATAATCGAGCGTGGAGAAGTGTTTACCGTGAAAATTAGTAAACAACTGCTGGTCTTTCAAAATTTTGGTTTACTTGCAGGATCAACCAGTGAATCTTGAGGATATTGCTATTGTATTAATGTATTTATAGAAAATTGATGAACACTTCGACATCATTCATTAGTGTAAAAAGATTGTTTTGATTGTTATTAAAAAGATTAAACTTTTTAAAAGTTGATAAAGGAAATGCAATAAAGAAAATAACTTCAAAGTAAAAAGTGCAGTAAAGAACGATTGGTAAAATGAAAGTAAACTTTTATTGAATAAAATATGGTGTTTCAACGTACATTTCTCAATAGTTACTCTTTTCTCGCTTTAACTTGGATACTTTGAGTAAATTTTGAGTATAATACAACAATTGAACACACGGAAATCCTAATACTAAGACCCATATTTATAATACGTCGAAATAACTGTCTCCAACAAGCATTTCTAAAAAAGTTGACACGTTTCGCCCTGCATGCCTTCATTTCGCCATAGTTCTCCACACGTCTCTCCTGAGAAATGGATAAGGACAAAAGACAGTTACCTATCAGTATTTTGAAATTGAAATTTCTGTCGAAGGAAGGCTTCAAAACATCCCTTTATCGAAGTGACCTTCTACACTTAGAAAATATTTCTAAGTTTTTGTCCAAACACATCTCCTTATGAGAACCACTTCGACAGAACTTCACATTAACTTCTATCAAAGTCAACCATATTTAAGAAACTTTTAATTTTCACTTAGTTTCTCAAATGGGAACATGGCGTCGAAATTTCCAGCCAACAAGAAGTCCAAGTGTTGAAGGTTTCGAATGATAACAATGATGCTGATATGATCACAAAGAAAGACATTTTGTCAAGCTGCAAGTTTTTTCACTATATGCAATTGATAAAGTTGCATGATAAAAGTTAGTTTGTTCCCTTGTTAGTGTAGAGTTTGTTCTGAGGTGGAGATTTGTGGCATTTGGATCAAACTTTAGTCTCGACAAGGATAGTTTCATGGTTCGACAAAGGTTTAGCATGTAGTCGAAGTATGTTCACATGTTGGTCCTGTATGCAGTAATTGAAATGCTAGGATTGTTAGCATGTCGAATTAGGACTTGCTTGTAAGCCCAATTGTTAAGTTAGATTGTAGTCTAAGTTAGCTTAGTAGTCTTTAAATAGACTAGTTCTCTTATGTTGTTGAGAGATGTTAAGTGATTTTATTCACTTGTAATCTTTGAACCTTTATTGAGTAAGTGATAGTAAAGCAGTTTCAACCACTTTTGATTCTTCTTCTTCCTTCTTCTCTCTCTTTTATAAAATCTAATAGAGTTTCTTGTGTTTGTTCAAGAAACTCAATCTTTTTCTCATATTTTGGTTTGTTCTTGACGACATCAATTCATAACAATATATCAACAAAAACCAAATTATCAACAACATACAACTTTTATAAATTAACAATAACAAGAGTTGCAGAATATATGTTGGAGTTTTGTGAAGAAGTGGTATAAATCGTTCATGGTGTAATGAAAATGCGTGAGAGAGTCTTAGAGTTTTGTTTTGATAGATACAGTTGTTCTTTCTTGAAGGAGCGATCTTTTACTTAAATATATGTTAAACTTTCAACCACGGTTACTTAAATTGCTCATGATAAAGTGTAGGTGCTTTTACAACGGTTGCTACTTTAGACCGTAGTGAAATATATTTAATTTTAACATAAATATTAAGATTATAAGTGACATGTCCATATTGTAAACAAAAAAAGAAAAGTTGCTGGTGCGGGGAATCGAAGCCTATAAGCATTACGATATCACTACGGTTTTTAACATGGGTCGTAGTGAAAAGTCTTTTGGTAAAAGAAATAGAATTTCAAGCGCTTAAATAAGAGATATTACCGCAGTTGGTTTAATATTTATGGTAATAACATGTTACATTAAGTGTATTTTTAGAAGTGAGACCTACACTCTTCTCCCATCCTAACAGAGGACAAAAAAAATCGTAAGTCGGCCAAATCAAAAACTCATCCTCAGGATTTGGTTTCCACATCCAAATATATATCCTTCTTTTATTACTTAATGACCCCCTCAATAGAACTAATCATGTCACCCGGAAGGTCTTCCTCCCAAGCAAGCAACCTATGCCTCCACCTGAACTTCAATATCCAAATTCCTCCCGTCCAACGTCCCATCATACTCGATTCTTGGGACTTTTGCTTCGAAATTAGGAACAGACTCTCGAAAATCACACATCATTGATTTGACTCAATTTACACATCATGCTATAATCGAACATTCAACTTATTCACGGCCTACTTACAAATAAAAGAGACAACCCAATCTAACAACTCCAAACCCTTGGAGCCAAGGAGAGAGACAGCCCTCTACCAGGGAAAAACCCTCCTGAGATTCCCTTTCATACCCCTACGATGAGAGTTCACCATCAAGACATATACCTCGAGTTCACGAGGACCACACAGAAATCTGTTCGTACAAGTATAAGAGCCAAAATAATAAATCAATTCAACCGCACAAAAACCATGTTGAGAGATTGACTCTTCACTATTTCTTTGGTTGATAAGAATAAACCTTTTTACTTATGTTTTAAGTTGTTTCATTTCTTTAAATTTCCAACTATTATTCTTAGCAAGAACGACACCACCTTAGTTTTCAATTTCATATTCTCTCTCTGTCTTCTCATGATATTCAACCAGTCATAGCTTCTTCCGCCCTCATCACTAAAAATGGTTACTCTACACTTTAACCTATTTTATCAAGTTTTACGTAATTGGAGAACCATGATTGCTTAAAAATAATATAAAAAAAATTAAAACTTAGATTTAACTCATATGACTGTGACTGTGACAACATGAGTTCGCAAGCTTGTATCTGCGCCGCAGCATGCATTACATTTTCGCAAGCATGAGATATCATTATAGCATCTAACAACATGCAAACCAATTTGATTGAACCGAATATCAACTTTTTCATTTTATGAAAATCATTTTTTCCTATTTTTTCCTATAAAAGGCCGTGATACACTTTCTACAACAACAGTATTTTTGTTAAAAATATGGACAAAGTTTCTTCATCTCCTTCTACATTTCCCGTTCTCCACGTGAGTTTCGTGTATCTTTATTTACTTTATAATATTTTCTTATCTTTTTCAATTTATTCAAGTTTCTTGTGTGAAATCAAATTCTTGTAACTGTCATTGCTAACTAACAGGATATGGAGATAGAAAATAGAGGAAAAGGAAACGAGTTTTTTCCAGAAGATTCTTTTAAGAGTTGGAGTGAGTATGGAAAAGCGTTTTTGAGGACACCTATTAGGTTGAAAGAGAGAATGTTTACGAGATCCAAAGATTACATGGAGATTGTTGAGATGAAAGCTCGAAGTAATCATCAAATGAAGAAGACTCTTAATTGGTTGGATCTTATTTGGTTTGGAATTGGAGCTGTTATAGGTTCTGGAATTTTTGTTCTTACCGGTATTGAGGCTCGGGAAGAGGCCGGTCCTGCCGTTGTTTTGTCCTACGTCGTCTCCGGTATTTCTGCATTGTTGTCGGTTTTCTGCTACACCGAGTTTGCCATAGAAATTCCTGTTGCAGGTTAGTGTCTTAGTTCAAGCTTCGCGTCATTGAGAGACTAATCTAAATCTAACTATTTGTTTGTTGTTTTTTTTTGTTTATCAGGTGGTTCATTTGCGTACTTGAGAGTTGAACTTGGAGACTTTGTGGCCTTTATAGCTGCCGGAAACATCCTCCTTGAATATGTTATAGGATCGGCCGCCGTAGCACGGTCATGGACCTCCTATTTTGCCACCCTCTGCAACTATAACCCCGACGACTTTCTTATAATAGTCAAAAACATGAACCCTAATTATGGCCATCTTGATCCTATTGCGGTAGTAGTCCTAATAGCGATTGCCATCCTTGCAGTCTTTAGCATCAAAGCTTCTTCTATGTTTAACAAAATCGCAACAATGGTTCACTTATTCATCATTGCATTCATCATCACTGTTGGCCTAATCAACGCCAAACCCGAAAACTATGCTTCATTTTCTCCCTTTGGTACGCGAGGTGTTTTCAAAGCTTCAGCTGTTCTTTTCTTTGCTTACATAGGCTTTGATGCAGTATCAACAATGGCCGAGGAAACTAAGAACCCTGGAAGAGACATTCCTATTGGTCTTGTTGGCTCAATGGTGATTATCACTATTATATATTGCTTACTTGCTTCAACACTTTGTCTTATGCAGAACTATAAAACCATCGATATCAACGCGCCTTTTTCAGTTGCGTTTAGCTCAATTGGATGGGGGTGGGCTAAGTACATTGTTGCATTCGGAGCATTGAAGGGAATGACAACTGTGTTATTGGTTAATGTTGTAGGCGCGTCGCGTTACTTAACGCACATTGCTCGTACTCATATGATGCCTCCATGGTTTGCTCTAGTTCATGAGAGAACCGGGACACCATTGAATGCTACAGCTGCAATGGTTATAGCTACTTCTATTGTTGCATTTTTCACAAATCTTCGTATTCTTTCAAACCTATTATCGATTTCAACTCTTTCTATTTTTGTTCTTGTCGCGATTGGGCTTCTAGTGCGTCGTTATTATTCAAGTGGAGTAACTACAAAAGAGAATCAAGTTAAGCTTATTGTGTTTGTTGTTTTGATTATTGGATCTTCATGTGGCATGTCTGTTTATAGAGCAATGAGTGATGGTTGGATTGGATGGGCTATTACAGCACCATTTTGGCTTATAGGGACAGGAGGTATTTTCTTTATGGTTCCAAAAGCAAAGAAACCTAAAGTTTGGGGAGTACCTTTAGTTCCATGGTTACCATCTTTGTCTATTGCTATTAATATATTCCTACTTGGATCTATTGATAAAGATTCGTATATAAGGTTTGGGATATGGACAGGGATTTTGTTGATTTACTATATTCTCATTGGGCTACATGCTTCATATGATGCATCAAAGGAGGTTGAGAGTAGACATTGTATGTCACAGTATCTTGACAAGGAGATTAAAAGTATGGAAGAGGAAGGTAAAAATTAGAGGCTGCGAAATTGGTTAAGGGGTTTGTAAAGTGAATGTGAATAGTGGTGGCAAATGTACCTGCATCAAAGTTGAGTTGTTTTTGTATGTGGCTTCCTCGTCTCTTCGATATAAAGATCACACAATACATGGCCCTTTAATTATTTTTATTTTTCTCAAACTATTTATCCATTTAAAATATCAATTCATTATATATTAATATTGTTCTCACAAACCTAGAGACAAAACCTAAATCTCTCTCTTTCTCTAAAAAAAACTCATTTGTTTTCATCAAATCTGCTTCCAAAAATAGAGAAAAGAGCACAAGCACAACCAAACTGTACATTTTCCTATTCACTTTTGAGAATACACCTTTCTAATCACATTAGTTTGAATGTTACAAGTGTTAAACTTACAAGCACAACTCTACTCTCTCGTATTAGAAACGAAGATTGTGGTCTGAACTATTTGACTGGAAACATAAAATTTTACCTGGTGAGAGGGTAGTTGGGGGATTTGAATGCTATCAAAAATCAGGAGGAAATGATGGGTAGGGGTGCATAGTGGTGTAGAAATGGAAGAATTTGGTGCCTTTACTGAGCTTGTGGAACTTGTGGATTTGCCAACAATTGGTAACAGATTTACTTACTTCAACTCAAATGGAAGTTGTAAGAGTCGTCTTGACAGATTTTTGATCACGTTGGGATTAATGAATACCTAGAACATTGTTGCTCAACATTTTGGAGATAGAGATATCTCTAATCATAGATCGGTATGGATTAAGGCAAGAAATGTTAATTGGGGCCTAAACCATTCAAAGTCTTTGATTGCCGGTATGAGCATCCGAGATTGATGCCATTTATTGAAAGTAAATGGAAGTCATTCTCTGTTATTGGAAGTGTGGCTCATGTGCTTCATAAGAAACTTCAAATGTTAAGGGACAAGCTACTTTGGTGGAATATAAACGTGTTTGGCAGGGTTGACTTGAGAATTGAAGGTGAGGTCGAGATTATAAATGAAGTGGAAGGATATATGGCAAGTCATAATGTCCAAATATCAATTGATCATCTGGTGAAGAGGAGTAGGGCACTGGAGGATTTGTGGAAGAACTTATGCCTTAAGGAGAGTATCATAATGCAAAAGAGTCAAGTGGGTTAAGGAATGTGACCAAAACTCGAAATATTTTCACTTTTTGCTCAAACAAAGAACAAGGAGGAATTCTATTACATCAGTCAAGGTTGGAACAGGGGTTCTGAAGGATGTGTTCCTGGTCAAAAGGACAATCAAGGATCATTTTACATCTAGATTTCAAAGCATCCACTCACATAGGCTTGAATTAGATCTTTCTAATTTAGCCAGATTATCTAGCGATGAGAGTTCTAAATTGGAAGAGATGTTTGGTGAAGATGAAATCAGGGAGATGCTTTTTTATTGTGTAGGAAACAAAAGTCAAAGACCCGGTGGCTTTAATATGGAGTTTATGAAGAGTTGTTAGGATGTGCTTCGTTTGGACATTATAAAGTGCATGCAAGAGTTTCATGTCACTACCAGATTACCTAAAGTTGTGTCTTCTTCATTTCTTGCCCTAATTCCCAAAACTGATAACCCTCAAAGCTTGGATGGGTATAGGTCAATTAGTCTAATTAGTTGTGTTTAAAAGGTTATTTCTAAATTATTGGCTTCTAGATTGAGGTGTGTGATGGGTAACTTGATTGCAAGGTCCTAAACTGCATTCATTTCGGAGAGACAACTACTTAATGGTGTTGTTGTTTTAAATGAGATAATTGATGTTACTAAAAGGAAGACGCGGAGTTATTTATTATTCAAGGTTGATTTCTCCCAAGCCTACGATTGTGTGGATTGGAGTTTTTTAAAGAAATTGTTGGTGGCTATGGAATTTGGCTTGAGATGGATGAAGTGGGTGGAAGGAGGTGTCTTCAACAGCTTTATGTATGTGCTTGTCAATGGAAGTCCCACCGAAGACTTCAAGATTTTGAGGGGTTTGAAACAAGGAGACCCTTTTGTCTCTATTTGTATTTTCCATTGTAGTAGAAGGACTTGCAGCAATGGTTAGAAAGGCCGAAGGTGTGGGCATGTATAGTGGCTTGAGAGTAAATGATAAACTGTCTTATTGCTCTTTGCTGTTTGCTGATGACACAGTCTTAATGTGTAACAAATCATGGTCAAATTTGTGGTCTTTAAAATCGATCTTGATGGGGTTTGAGCTAATTTCAGGTTTGAAAATAAACTCAGGGAAGAGTTGTCTTTATGGTGTAGGTGTTGATGACTTCTTTATGTAGGGTGCTAAACAGTTTTTAGCATGTAAATTAGATTTGTTACCTTTTAAGTTTTCGGGCTTAACTATTGGAGGCAATAACAGAAGGATCTCATTCTGGAAGCATGTTATTGACTACAAGAAAGTAAGTTTATCATCGTGGAAGAGGAGGTTTTCATCTATTGGGGGTAGAGTGACTCTAATCAATTCGGTACTTGCTAATTTGTTCGTCCATCATTTATCATTCATCAAGGCACCATGTAAGGTATTGCAAGTGCTTGTCTCAATCTAGAGAAACTTTCTATGGTCTGACTCGAATGAAACAAGAGGTATTGCATGGGTAAGTTAGAATTCAATTTGTAAGCCTAAAGAGGAAGGTGGTTTAGGTTTAAAAGACATTAGGTTATTCAATAAAGCATTGTTAGCTAAATGGCTTTGGAGGTTTATTAAAGAAAGGGATGTTATTGGGGTTGGGATATTGGAAGATAGATATGGTGATTATGCTAAAAGGTTGCTCTTTAAATAGGCTTCTTGGCCAAATTCACAATAATTGTTGTGGTGGAAGGACGTGATGAAAAGTATTGGCAACTTGGGGACTGATGAATTTGGTGACCTAATATCTACCAGATTAGGTAATGGTGCTAATGTCCCATTTTGTTCTGTTAGATGGCTAGACAACTCGACACTGTGAGATTTATTTTCGGGCCTGTGTGAAAAATATGATAGGAAATAGGGGTGGTGAAAGACATGGGAGTGTGGGATGGGCAGGTGTGAAGTTGGCAGCTGAGATTCAATAGCCTGGAAGAGTATCATATGTTGATGGAAGAATATAACGAATTGTTTTTGTTACTGTAGAATGTATCCCTTATAAAGGAAATTTCCAATGTTGTTATTTGGTCTCTTGGTTCGTTAAATTATTTTTCTGTAAAGGAATATTATGACAGGTTACAAATGGTTATGGGAGGGAGTAACTTGGACGTTATAATGAAGGCAGCATTGCATTTTCTGTAGAAAATGACTATTCCTCTGAAGGTTAAGATATTTGGCTGGAGATTGCTTATTGACAGGATCCCAACGCGTCGTAACCTTGCTCTGCATGGGATACTTTCCAACCCACATGATCTGGTAGGTGTTTTCTGCTTTGGACTCATCGAAGACAATAATCATGTATTCATTTCATATTCTAGGATCAAGTCAGTTCGGAGAAAGAACTCTGATTAAATAGATGTTGGGTGGATCAATGAAGTGCATTGTTGTAATCATTACTGATCGTACCTGATCAGAAGAGATTGCTAACTGGCCACACATCGTCAACTGAAGGCTGCTCAACGAAGGTAGGGAGGAGGAGGGGGTGTACCTACAAGACACTCTGATGCTTAAGTGAGTAAAGGACCAGAGTGGGAGCAAATATAGAAGTTAGGTGTAGAGACTGGAATACCTGACCCTCTAGTGAAATAGGGTATTTATAGTGAGACCTCAGCGTAGGGCCAACGGGCACTTGTGTTGGGCTGGATTGCCAGGCCCAACCCAAGTGACTGTTAGGGCTTACATGGCATAGCGAAGACCAGAACGTGGTCTTCACCCTAGTTCAACCGTCCCGTGATCTTCGGAGTGGTGGGCTGACCAACTCTTTCGGAGGTGGATAGTTGCCTTATGACGTGTCCCCGCGGGGGAAGCACATGGAGAACGTGTGGAAGACGTGTTGTTCTTCCCGACGGGAAAGACGTTTGTCCGGCGTATCTAGATTTGTGCCCGTCATTAGGGGATTTGGGCCTTGTTGGGCCTTCCCCACACAGGGTTGGGTTGGGCCTGACCGACGGATGGGCAGGTCTGGACCCACTCCAGAACAGGAGCCCCTCAAGTCGTAACTCCGATGCGAAGGAGCAATGACTTGATGGTAACCGTGTCGGGGAAGAAGAAGGACGAGGATGAAGCTCGCCCGACTGCCATGTCAAGGACACTAGGAGGCGAGGATCTGGAGCTTGTCAGGCTATCAGGTCGAGGAGGTGGAAGATTGTTAGACGTTCTCTTGCCTGTGCTCGAAGGGGAGAATGAAGGGACGTGACCGTTCACGGTGGTCACGTGTCTGACACTTATTGTTCCACGTAGGGCGGCTACCCTAGGGCACTCGAGTGCCTAGGGGCGCTTCGAGTCCCGTGTTATGTTTATAAATAGGCAGGTGCCTGCCCTTTTACCATTTTTCGCACTCATTCACTATCGTATGTGATATATGGATCTCCCGTACACGCATTGTCGCGCAGTACCGCCACCGTATCGTCTGCCGCGCATTTCGTCATCTCTATTATATCCAGTAAGTTTTCTACTTCTTCTCTTTCATTTTTATTAATTTCGACGTTCTCTGTTATGGACATGATAAATGTCCCGAGGAGAGTGTGGGTTCTCCGGCGAATACGGCGGGATCCCCTTGACCTGAGATGAAGGCCCCGAGGTCACCTAAGGCATTAGGATGAATGTCACGGGGACAGACGACAGGGTACAAATGAACTCCCCGGGGACGTAGAATATGGTTAGATGAATATCTTGGGGACGTAGGATAGGGTTAGATGAACGCCCCCCGGGGACATAGGACAAGGTTAGATGAACGTCCCGGGGAGGAATACTAGGTAGAGATGGATGTCGCGGGGACGTGATGTGTTGTCGGATGAATACTTCGGGGACATTTGTCGTTGGCGCATGGTCGTGTTGCCGTCAAGGAGGAATCTGAGTCGTAGTCATCGTCCTCATC